GGAACGCGTGTGCGTGCATGCGTTCGTGCATGTACGCGGCGAGAAAGTTGCGTGGCCCGGGCAAACGCTGACCTTACGTACTGCGCGCGCGCGTGTGCGCGTGCACGCGCGCACGAATCGTTTCGGCGCTCGATCGGCCCGATCGACCGGCAATCGCCACCGATTTGCCACGTTTCTCCGCGTATAATATCTCTCCCCGAATCTCGAGGAAACGAGGAAAATGGAACGTCGTCGAGATGCAATCGTGTTTTTCGCATGATCCTCCGCGGTCGCCGGTTTTTCCACGATTTCTAACCTTTCTCCAGGTAATTTTTCAAGGGGTTTTTCCCAACTGTTGCGCCGGAATGACGTGCCACGCACGTCGAGAATTTTATTGCCCCAGAATTGCAGTGTTAAGTATATTTAAGTATAACTCAGGCAAAGCAAATGATAAATTTATTATTACTTCTCAAACATTTCTATCCAGTGATATACCGACGCGTTCAAAAAGTGGGCGGCGAATTATTGTAAATGTTGTTTGGTCACTCGTTATGGTCCGCAATCAGTTGTCAACGCAAGTGGTACCTCTTGTGCTAGAATGACGTGCCACGCACGTCGAGAATTTTTTGCCCCAAAATTGCAATATTTTCTCAGTTTTAGGTACATTTAAGTATTGCCCAGGCAAAACAAATATTAAATTTATTACTTCTTAATAATTTCTATCCAGTGATATACCGATAAAGTCAAAAAGAAGACAAATTGTTATATACGGTTTTTGGTCACTCGTTATGGTCCGCACTCAGTTGCCAGCGCAAGAGGTTAGTCCTTTAAAATTGCTGATTAGTTTCGTGAGAAACACGAATTACCAAGAATTAAGAATCGTTGTCTTGTCAAAATGTTGAACAGGTTGTTTTCACCAGTTTTACCACTTACATAAATTGCTAGTGTCATCATAGCATTAAAGTTAGTAAAACGATAGATGTTAACAATCAATGTGCTTTAATTATAATAATTACATGTAAATTGCTAGTTGATAATTCTAACGCTGAGTGTCCGTTCAACATATATCAAACCTAACCTCAAGCTACCTACCAATTATTTTAAACATCTACCGCGTATGTAGCTGTAATGTTACGAATGGAATTATCGGCCAGACAAATTGGTCTCTAACTTCGAATTCAAAAAAAAGTTGGAGAATATTGAGAAGTTGAGCATTTTCCAATAACGCCGTAAGTGAATTTTGGCTGGCGAAACACAGTAGGATGAAAGGGACGGAGGATGAAAAACAGCAGCGGTGAAAATACCTCGGTTCTCGAAACGACTCGAGTCAAAAGCGGGGGTGTGTTCGGTCGATGCGGCTAGACACCCACCCTTCTCCACTGACGCGAGGGTGAGTCAAGGTCAAGCAAGGTCGAACCCCCCTCGGGAACCTTTCTCGGGAACTTGGGTCCTCACTAACGAGCCGATACGACCGGCCACGTGCAATTAAGATGGCCGGAGATCGTAGAAAACGATCCTCGAAGAAGCGGTCGTTTCAATTCGAGGCGATTAACCTCTCACGATCGTCCAGGCTAAATTGACACGTCGTATTTTTTATATACGTGTGAGTCTTTACTAATTGACATACCAAGTTCAAACTTTGCGAGGATATAGAATCCCAGGCTACGTCAAAATTATTACACGATGAAACATCTGGCTTTGAGGTATCCAAAGATACAGTTAGTTGCAATTAACCACTTGCGCTGGCCAACTGATTGCGGACCGTAACGAGTGACCAAACCGTATACAATAATTTTGTCGGTACGATATCACCGGATAGTTAGTCAATAATTATTATTTGTTTTGCCCGAGTTATACTTAAATATACTGAGAGTTATATTGCAATTTTGATGCAAAAAATTCTCGACGTGTGTCAATTAAGAAGCTGAACTAAATTGCCAAGAGATTTACTTTTCACGCCGTGAAAAACAATGAGAATTGAGAATAAACTAGAAGATATTTTCGTGGCCATCATTCGCTGTCCCCGTCGACTATTTCATGGCTGTCGAAGAGGAAACGGCCGTCGGAAAATGGTAGGTTCGGGGACAAAATTGTCGACGTATTCGAGCCGAATCAATATTATTACGAACGACGTCGGTGACGAGGCAAAGAGAAAACGAGCGGTACCTCGCTAACAAGGCATTTATTTTCAACTTCGATTTGAGTTGAAAACGTCGAGCGTGCAGGAATAATTTAACGGTCTCGCGTACGGTTATCCCGTCTCGTCGATCCAGCCAGGGTGGAACGTCGATCTGAAATGCACCCTCGATAGCAGAGACTTCGTTAAGGGCGTGTTTCAGGGTTAACAGAGGTCATCCTTAAACCGCACTCGATACGGTCTTACCTGATTTACGTCTCGAACGAACCCAACCACGTAGAAAACCTACTTTTACTTATTTAAACCTGCTTTTACTTATTTACTCCCATCGGAACACTTGAAATACGCACGTAATAAAAATATAAGATACACGTGCTTGGTAAAAGCATAAAACGTAAAAGGTGTTCAGGTATTGTACAGTTTTTTCATTTGCGAGCGTTCTGAAAATTTATCATTTCGCTTGAAGAACAAGGATCGATCCTCTTACGTGTAACTGAAACTCGTTAGAAACGGTTAGTTGTTCCTCGTTTCTCGCATCCGACCAGATGGAACGAGTAAAAGTAAACGACGGGCGAGCTTTCTCCGGTTTGCAGGTCGGTAAAAGCTCGTCTATCCAATTTCGCGGAGATCTCGGCTGCAATTGCCGGCACAATGCGAAACCGACGAATGTCGACGTTGCAGATTTCGCGCAGAGCCGGATATCCCATAGGTTACGTACGACAAATGTATCATCGGGTGCATCGGCTGACGTCCCAGAAAATTACAAGCACACAGGCTCGTTTCGTGACTCGTTTCAAGCCACGTCCGTGACTTCTCTCATTATTTTCTTTCCTTATCTTTCGTGTCTTTTCTTTTTTCTTTCCTTTTTTCTTGCCTTTTGTCTTTCCCTTTGTGCTCACCTCTTCCTTTATTTTCGCTCAGCCCAGGCCCTGAAGCAGCATCTGTTCCCGGGCGAGAAGAAACCGATCGTTTGCTCGTTCCCCTCGCCAACAGCTAAACAACACCCGTCGACTCGATCTACGCGATCATAATTACCGATTCAATTCACTGAGCCGTGACGTCGTGATTCATCTATCCTCAATCACCCTTCGATGATCGACTTCCTCGAGAAACGCCCCCGAATTTCCATCTTGCTTCCGGTTTGTCAAACTTTCTCGCGGCTGTTGTTTAAAAGCTGGAATCGCTCGATCAAGCATGTGTCACAGTGACAAAAGAATTCTTAAACAGGGTGTGAAGGTTTGTTGACATTCTTCGTAGAAAATTCAAAAGTCAATTTGAACATTTCGCGGTCCCAAGTAAATTTTTTTTTTTTTAATTAATGTCGGATTGCTGCTAAATATTACAGAAATAAAACTACACGTACACAAATTTTTTCTTTTCTGTTATATTCCTTGAATCTTTTTTTTTTTTTATTTGTTTATTTACTAGAAAATAATTGTTACGAAGATACAAGTAACTTCGATGAGAGATATAAATCATCGTTAACACTAGAACTACCGACGACTAAGTTATAATATTTGTAGCAAAAACAATTGAAGAAAAAATTAACAATACAAGGAAGAACACAAGCCTCTATATATATTTTATTTAAAAAATCACTCGAGTATTTAAAAATACACTGTTGCGAATGTATAAAACTTCCATGGAGAATTATAAATCGATTTTGACGACTTTGGTAGTTGTAGAAAATTCAGTGAGCACAGGATCCTGCCAATGTTGGAAAATCGAGAACCAGGAAAATACGCGACACGTTCCCGTTCGTTTCGCAGGATTTCGTCAGCGAGTTTTCCATCGGGCAGGCGGATCGCCTCGTTCGATTACGCAACCGATCTCCGCGTGTGGGCGCCGAAAAGTAAACGCGATAAAAAGCGGTCGGCGCGCTCCTTTCTGGTCCGCGCGGCGATTCCACTTCGGTTTCTCGATAACCATCTCTGGTGTTGCGAAGAAGCGGAGAAGATGAGGAGCGAAGAAAGTGGCGAGCGATTTTGCGTGGCCGGCGGCTCGAGTCGATTTTCCACGAGGCGATTTTTCCTCGGCTGCTGCCACGAGAAATTGCTTAATGAAGCCGCGAGGTTGGCACTGCCTGAAAGGAAGGTAGAAACGTTGCAGTGGGTCAAGGAGAGACACCCGGCTTTCACTTCCTCTCCGCAGCGCCGCACTATACCTCTCGAGAACACCTCCCATGCCTCTCTTTTTTTTTCTTCTTCTTCTTCCTCCCCCCCTTCTTCGTGCTTCCTCAGCCTTTTCTCGTGGCTACCGTTAGGAAGCGATCTGATCATTAGCCGCCGACGTCTAATGGTATCGTAATCGATCACGATAGAAACGCGAAAGTTTGCGAATTTTAATGAAACAGCGTACGAACGAAATCTTCGTTCGTTGTACGGCAGTAATGTAGACATTCTCGTAAATTGCCAGCCATTGGCAAATTTTTTTTAACGAGACGAGCGTCTAACAAAATCTTGGAAATACAACGTAGAATTTCGTTTCCTTTGTAACGCGCGCGCTGGTCGATGTGTATCAACTTCATAAACGTTCATTGGCCAGCCATTCATTGTGAATGACGAGCGTAGAAAGACCAACACGCGTATACAAAGTATATGCAGATAAATCGTGCATACGCGCACCTGCTGATAATTATTCAAACGGCATCAATGGCCGTTCACAGGCGTTTCTTGATTAATTGAAATTTAAAACACGCGCGACTTCTAAAGCCGATAATTCAGTCAGAACGGCGCTCATTGTGAGGAACCGTGTGTTTCAACAATGGCCGAGCAAGTCCCTTAGTACGAACGGCCAAAGTACAAAAAACACAAAAAAAAAAATTCGACCCTTTGATATTTGGCGTAGTAAATCTAACGTTTTCTTGACGTCGGTGCGATTGCAGTGGATACCAGGGAGGTCCAGCCACACGATGCGAACGAGAAGGAGCAACTTGGCCTGGCGAGCGTTAAAGCAGAACCAGGATCGACCGGTACGACGACGACCACCACGGGGACTCGTCTTCTGCACGGTATTCTGTCGCAGCATCCTCAGCAGCACGGTCTAGGGGTGCAAAACGGATACGGCCGCCACTTGGCCGGTCATGCTCAGATGGGCCAACCGTCCTACACCACTGCCACGATCGCCACCACCAGTACACCAGGTCAGTCACCAGCCAATCTCCGAAATCACCTTCGCTTTTCCAACATCATCGCACGGATACACGATCAACAAAATGGAAATAGATTAGATTGTACGTTCGGAAGGAGATCTGAACGTTATAATAATTTTCTTTCTCTCGATGTATTCGTAGAATACACGAGTCTGATCTAAGTGTTCGCAGTCTAATGACAATTAATTCATTTATAGGAAGATGATAACTGATTTCTAGGTTCACTTAACCTCTTGCGCTGGAATGAACGTGTCACGCACGTTCTCAATTTTAAATATATTAATTGATTTTCTTAAATATATTAATTTAATATATTTAAGAAAATCAATAACAATGCAAAGCATATAATAAATTTGTTACTTCTCAATAATTTCTGTCCGGTGAGTTCAAAAAGGAAGCGACGTAATTATTGTATACGGTTCGGTCGCTCGTTATGGTCCGCAATCAGTTGCCAGCGCAAGTGGTTAAGAAACGATACACTTGATATAGTAATATAAAATTACCTGCAGGTTGTTTGAAACTTTTCCTGCCTACGCAAACCTCAACAAACTCCCCGCACAAACGTCAAACAACATCACCACACTACACTAACCATTCTAAATGCAGGTTAAAGGGCAC